CTTTAAGTGTATCCCTTAACCTTCATTATTGTAAGTTTACATGAAAAGATACCTGGGCTTTCAAGGAAGCAGCATCATATTTACTTGTCTGACAGTAAATCAATTTATTTGGTACTTGCTGTGATTTTCAAACACAAATTACAGCGTTAGTGCTTTTCTATTATTATGGCAACCAAATTTCTTGACCTATGTATCAAATTCTAAGTTAATCTTGTGTAAGTTTGGGGTTCATTTTTTTAAATTAAAAGTCACCAAGCAAGTAAATTCTTCAGAAAAGTTACCTGCACACAGAACGAATTAAAAGCACTTTCAGAAGCTTCCTTGTTAATAAGGCAATTATTATGGATTGATACACAGATTAAGCTGTGATTCCTCGTTACTTGGGAATGACCAAGTACTCATATTTTCATGTGGCTTTAGAAACACACACGTTGGCACTTAACTGCTTTCAAGGTGGGGAGTGTGTGTGAAAGACAGAGATATTCATTTTGAGTTGGGTCTTCCAGGTAAAAAGAACTACACAGACTTCTTACATACAACGTAAGTTGACAAATCAGAAAGACGATATTCTTGTGAAACTTACGTTGTATGTAATACCAAGACACTGAACCTCTGTTTATAAGATCACACTTATATTTACTGAAATCAGCAAAATTTCACATTTGATTTTAAGTATATACTTAAGTGAACATTCAAGCACTTTGCTAACTATGGAAAAATGGGTCAGACTTTCCAAAGTACTTGCCAATGGGATATATCAAACCCATGAAAGTACCAGCAGATACTTAGTTGTCTCTTAAGATACCTAAATATCAGACTTACACTGAACCACAGCTGGTTTTGTCCCAAGACATACATTGGCCAATTCCTTTACTTAGTCCCCGCTGGGATGAACAAGGTTCTGGTCATTCCCTAATAACAGGGAACCACAGGATTTTAACGACTCATAAGGTATCTATAGTTACCCTCCCTAAATTTCTCAGTGCTAGTACAGCAGGATAGAGTGGGCACAGTTACAGGAAAATAAAGTAAAGCCCCAGCGCTCTCCCTCTGCAAAGGGGCCGCGGGCTGCCTGCGCCCTGCGCAGAGCGCGGCCGCCTTGGCCAGGCCCGTTCCCCGCCCTGCTCCGCTCCCCTCTGGTCCCCGGGGAGCCGCGCAAACTACTCACCTGCGCCCAACTCTCCCCTCCGGGTCGCCAGCCCTTTAACGGCCACCACCCTCCCATTGGGTGAGCTGTGTGCCTGTCAGTCCTTACCGCGCGCCTATTGGTGGCCCACGTCCGCCGCTCCTCTCCCGCTCCGCCCCCTCACGGCCCTCACCGCGCCAGGCGGGCCGGAGTCCCCCACATTCGCTTGGCGCGCAGCAACTCCTCTCCCAGCAGAGCCGCCCCCGTCCGCAGACCGCACGTAGCATTGGCTACGATCGCTGCTTCTCTTCCCGATGCCTACCGGTGATTGGCTAATGGCTGCCAAGGCCCGCCTGTCCCCTCAATGAGCTTCCGGCGGCGGGGATCTCGCCGGGTCATGGCGGAGCCAGACAGGGCGGACCTGGCGCTGCTGCCTCCCCGGCTTTGTCTGAGGGGCGGGATGCCCGGGGGTGGTGGGAGAGGGTTGGCGCTTCTCTGCGGCCGCCTATAAAGGAGGGGGAAGCTCGGCCTAGCGCGGGGTGTATGATTGTGTGTGGATTTTCCCGCGGCCGCGTAGGAGCAACCAGATAACAGCAGCCAGAGCTGGTGTGGCCAGTAGGCTTATGGTGGCAGGGTTAATGCACAGCAGTTTGCATTTCTTCCTGAACTGCGTGGTTTGAGTGTATCGTAGATTTAGTGTTTAAAATAGGGAAATAGCATTTGTGGAGGTAACTATTTTTAAATTACAGTATCTTTGGGAAAGTGCTGCTTATGTAAGACACCATGTCGTTAATATGTGAATATACACACAAAGCACGTGGAGCTTCTGTTCATGAGCTCTTCTTTGCCCTCGGCCACACAGACTATCTGGCACTTGCTCTTTGTATTCCATCGTGTTGCCTTGGTAATTGTAACCTTTGTGCAGGCTTAAGGTGCTACTTGCACGTAGATAAATACTTGTTCTCTGAAGTTTGCAACCTCTATTCTGCCTGATGTATGCATGTCTTATTTTGCATATTTACTAATGCTTGCTCAGTCCTTCCAAATCTAAGTTCTGGGCTGTACTCAGTATTTGGACTTAAGCATTTTCATTGGACAGAAAAGTTATTTGATTAATACAGCTTCTAGTGATAATAATTGTGATCATGAAACCAGGAATCTCCCTTAAGAGGTTTTTTTCCAGTTCAGTCAACACTTCTGGCAGTGAACTTCCTGGAAATACAGAAACTAAACATGGAAAGGCTATGAATGTATAAGCTTGTTTACAGTTTATGAATTTTGCTGCCATACTTGCCCACTGTCTACTGAAGATCATAAAAATTTAAGTAGGAGAATAGTAAGGAGCAGGGTAGCAAGACTGCCACATTGCTGGCAATATATTACACCGGGATATTTCTAAGGCGCATATATGAACTAGGGTTCAATTTACATTATTACCAGTATTTTGACAGTGTTCAGAAACAAGATGCCAGTGTACCCTAAAGTTCTTGCAAGTTAGTTCAAAATAGATTCAGGTGTAAGTAGGTAGAAAAATGATAAAGTGAAAGTTGTTAACAGTCAACTTCTGTCAGTCTGCAATAATTAGTGCTAAGCATAACATCATTTTATTGTGAAGCACAAAACCACTAAATATGATTAGTGTCCATTAGACTAATTTGAACTAGGAAGCATATGATTTCCTAGGGTAGTTGTGCATATAATTCTAAATAGCTGTACTTTTTTTCCCTATTGTTATTACACAGGCTGCTTACTGATCACAGGTGAAAAATCTTGGTATATACCAGCTTCTTCTAACAAAAATACTTGGATCTCTTTTATTCATATGAACTGTCTTGAATTTATGTGTAATTTCTGTGTATTTTATTCATTTAAATGCAGAGTCTGCTTCCTAGCTTGTGATGACAATGAGAAAAGCCCCACTGTCCTGTCTACTTCAGATACAAACTCTTCAAGTCCATGGTGAATTCCCTTGATATGTAGAACATACATATGCAGTTTTCTGATTGTGCACAAGGTTACACAACTACAGCTCTCAATTTCATCTGTGAATCTCTTCATTATTCAACATAAGCTTTTAACATTATGAAAGCTGTTGGAATGTTTTGCACATGTATCCAAATGGCTTTTGCTAGCTGTGGGGCAAAGTTAGTTTTCATTGCTGTAACTCCCATTTTATCTATACAGAGGTTTGAATGTCACAGCATTTTAAGTTCTGAAAGCACACAAGACAACACAGGGCTCCCTCACCTTGTATTAATGCCATTTCTGTACCCTTTGCATACTAATTTTAGGCTAAGTAGCTTATAACTCCTTTTATTGAAAGCCACTTCTAGGTAGTATGGAAGCTCATTTCAGGCAAAATAAATACCTCATCATTTGCAATAGTTAAACTGTTAAAAACCCTACACAGCAATCTGAACTAGATGGATCTCATAAAAAAAAAAAGATACCCATTTAAATGAGTACTTTACAATGGTAAACTTACAACTTTGCATCAGACTATATCAAATTTAGGGAGCAGCAAATTAATACACAAAGGATATGCAAATACAGAGTCCAAGGTTAATTAAAAAAAAAACCTCTCGCTGCAGTTTTCATGCATGCTAACTGCATTCTTGGTTATAACATTCAAAATGTTCTCCAGTTGAAAAAAAGAAGGGGGAAAAAAAAAGTAGCTAACCTCATTAGAAACATTGTAGATTCTCTGTGTTTTGAAACTCACTCAAAAAATCAGACCTGCAAAAGATTCAGTTGCTCGGTGCTTTTATTTCACAAAAGAATGAACATCTTGGCAAACATGTAGTATCATACTTTCCACGTATCAGCAGAGCCCAGGCAGCAGCAAAATGTTACTGATCTCTATGCTTTATTGGATGTTAGAGGGGAAAAAAAGTTGAGCATAATGTTCAGCTATAAATATCGTCAAATGTATCCCTGGTGTCAGTCTGGTTTAATTAAAACAGATCTTATGCTGCCTCCTGTTGGTCACCTACAAACAAACATCTAAAATTAGACTCACGTTACAAACTGAGGACAGCACATTCTATAGCCTATACCTTACCTACTATTTCTACTAATCTGAGGAGGTATACAGCTTGCTTCATGAAGTAATACCAGAAATAAATCTGACCCAGTAAATCTTCTCCATTTTTTGAGTATGATGAATTTTTAACATCAGTAAACTGACTTACTACAAATGTATTTAGAATATAGAAAATAAATTCATTAGTACATAAATAATATAGTAATCATCAGGTCTGTGCAAACATAATCAATATAAACACCTGAATAATAGATATTTATTATAACAACTAAACCACTTTGATAACATTACCAAAGTGCCATAATGTTTTGATAGCATTCTTTAAAAATTAATATTATCCAATATAATCATTAGTGGATATTAAAATCCCACATACAATATATATTATCTTCTTGTATATTATACTGGTCATGCTTATAATGTGTTCTGTGACATGTAATAGAATACTCTTAGAAATGTTTTGGTTACATCATTTAAGTGCAAATAGAATATAACTTTACATGCAATTTGTATGTTTTAAACATCTTACTATATTTCAGTGAGAACATAGGTAATCATTAATCTAGTCATTGACTATTTTTAGAGGAAGGTACTTTTTCATAAACTATTGTGAGCTTTGAAAAGTGAGAAAAGATGTAGAAAAGCTTGCTTTGCACCAATTTTGTTACTTTTTAAAAATTGCATAACAGCTGCGTAGACTGAAAAATCTAATTGATCCAAACCTACAGCAGTTACTCATGCAAGTAATCCATATTCTTCTGAGTAGTGTAGTTGATTTTGCTGAGATTTCTTACATTATTAGCAATTAATCACAGGATTTGCAACACAGGCCTCTAATTTTATCATAAACCTTTGTTTTTAACCATGACTTTCTAACACAGCTTCTTATGTACTCAATTCTGCTATCAGATTTAACTCTCTGTATGCAGAATTCTGGCAGATGATTTTTTCTTCTGTGAGAGTTGTAATACAGGCTTACCTAAATAACTGAAGAAAATTAATACTATTTTACAGTATCTTCACTGTAAGCAATGGTATAAAGTAACTGACACTATGACATCATTTCCTGACTGCTGAGTAAGAGAGCTCAACTCCATTTGAAATCCATGAATGATTTGTCAAACTGGGAACTGACTTTAGTTCCTGTGCAAATGTAGCATAGAATAGTAAAGTAACATGTCTGTTTTCCCGTTCAGCTTAATTCAGTTTTTACTATATATACTGAGTAATTTACCACGTATGTCATCGCGCTGATTTCATATGCCAAAGCCTTATACATAGAGCAAATAGCTGTATGGAAGACTGCCCCAAAAAATTTGCTGTAAGGAAAAACTTAGAGGAAAGAGCATCACCTGAATTACTGGCTGACTTGCTGTTTATGTGATCCAGCAATTTGGTCATGACAGTGGCAATTAAAAAACCCTCGCAATTCTCTAGTCTCTTCCAATTTGCATAGCTATTTATACCCATGTACTATGGGCATAATATGTTAATTTTCTCATTGCATAAATTGCATACTGACATTACTCAGGTAGAAAAACAAGACAAAAACACAAGCAAAGAATTGGGCCTTGTATTCCAATGAAGTGACAAGTGGCAATAATTAATGGTTAATGAAGTCTCTATGCTACCTTGAGTAATTTATTAATGCTAAAACTACTGTTCTATAGGTCTATTTTTCCCCACTATTTCAATAAGTGGGAATAGTATTTTCCATCTCTCCTAAACTATTCAATACATTTATGTTGCACTAACAAAAAGTAGTTGTGTTCCAGTATAAAACTGCTTGTATTTCAATATGGTGATTGTAAAGGTTACCTAGCTAAGTGTAGTTATAATACGATTTGGAGACTCACTATGAAAAGAGCAAATTAAATGTGGAAGTTGCCTGAAATACTGTAACAACAAGCTATTTAATTTTACAGAACTGACACACATCTTAATACAAATAAATTAAATTGAGTGGGAGGGTTCCACTCCATTAGTATGTTCTCCAAATGTGTGTAATTTTCATTTACATCCTTATGAAAATATTTATGATTAATGTTATCTAAATGGATAAAGGTAACAAATTATAGAGTCAGTCACAGAGTTGGAACATTACATTGTTTACTGTTTAAAACAGAAGTATGTTGCTAGGCAATATTAAGCTTTAAGCATTAATACTGAGCTTGAGTTTTGCAAAAAGTACATGCAGTAGTGATGTCATAATGAACTTACCACGGTTGTCTCAAGCCATAGGAAAGATGTTTTAGATGTCTCACTAAATTTGGTCATCTTTAAACTGTTTGGAAAATATGTGCTTAGATGTTTAGAACCATTCTGTCTGGCATAAGACAACCTTACCGCTTAAAAGATACTTACATGGAACGTTAAGGACTCTCAATATCTTATGGAAATAACTGGTAAGAAAATTCTCAGGCTGTGGAGGATTACAAATGATTTATGAAACCTAGCTAATTTTAGTGTCCTTCTGTCAGACACAGGTCCCACTTTGTATGCATGAGATCAAATGTACTTCACAATGTATGCCTAGACTAATATTAATTCTAAAATTCCATTATGATTTTAACATTATAATAGATGACTACTGAAAGTTTATCAAGCAGTATATTGTGTAGTGTTTTCTATGTAATATTTTAACAGCTAAAATTACCATGATGTACAATCCAAAGTGTTTTAATTCATTTAAACCACTATAGAAGTTTAAAAAAAATATCTTTCACCTCAGAAATACTATTTACTTTTACTTTAAATATAGGGATTTATTTTTGAAACTTTGTATTTGATGTATGACGATAGGAATTTTTCCCATAGTTAACTAAAGCAACAACTAAAATTTTACAGCTTGCTGCTCTAAGCAAGTGTGGCTGCTTAGTAGGTAGCACTGGAGACTTCAGAGATGGAAGACTTCTATTAGAAAACATCCTGAAGTGTTTTTTCTTTAGTTAACAGCATGACTGAAGCAAAGATACCACATGAATCATCCATTCTGTAGAAATCTTGCCCACTCTGCAATATGTTATCAAAGTTTACCTTACCACACTTAATGGGATGAAAACAGAAAGTACAGCTACTACTAAGGCACAAGGATGGAGAAAAAATGGTAAAACTGAAGAGCTGAAGTAAGATGATATGAATTATCAGTCTCTTCAAGATACCTGGTTTTAATGCTGTGAAGGTCACTTTGGCTCTTGCCCTTGCTAAGGTCATTCTAATAAGATAAAGCTGTCAATTAATTCCTCTTACAGGCTTGTGAATATAAAAAACCTAAATAACATAATATAGATCTCTTTTAAACTTCAGTTACATAGGGAAAACAGTATCACAGTCAGTTTTCTCACTCATCAATTTGTCTACCAGGACAACTGTGAATATTACAGAAATAATGGCATATATTACACAATGAATTCCTCATGACTATGCTTTTTTGAAAAGTAGTATCATTTTGCAAATTATTCAGATAATTACAGAGAAGGCTTGCATATAAAATTAAGTAATACTTTCTATATAATGACTATAATGAATGACAATGGACTCTTCCAAAAGCAATTCTATAGCATACAATTTAAGCTGAAGAATTAAACAAAACAGTACATATTTTTCCATCTGTAAATTAATACCTAAAAATCTGTTCTAAAACTTGTGCATTTAAATAGATAATTTTGACTCGGGAATTTCAAAATTCTCCAGAGCAAATTGTCAGTGCAGATGACCAGGGGTCCCTATATTTATTAAACTGAATGACCTGACAGTAAAACTCAGTTAAGGCTCTTGGCATTGGAGAAACTTCTTCCCACTCAGACCTACTACTGTGGTAGACTTGAACTTCGTCTGTGATTTCTTCTGGAGCGTAATCACCACCTAATATATAGATTTTGTCTTCTGTCCCAACTGCCCCTGCATTAAAGCCAGCGCATTCAAAAGATCCCTCCCCTTTCCAAACACAGGTTTCTGGGCAAAAGCTGTAGACCTTGTAGGTGGAGAGATCACATATGTACAACGTACAGTTCACTGGAACGGCTTTGATTAGAGTTGCATGGAAAAACTGCCCAAATTCTGCTACAAGCTCAGACCACTGATCAGTCATAGCATTATACTTAAAGAAACAGTCAAGAGATGGATTAAAAGCATCAGTAATCTCTACTTCTGAGCCAAGGACATAAATTATATTCTGACATGCACTTGCTTCTGGATAGTAGATACCTCTTGGTAACTGGCTTACAGATTTCCAATCTCTGGAAAGAGGATTGTAAGATTCTACATCCAAAAGACTCCGAGTTTCTTGAGCTCCTCTGGTCTTTCCACCTATTACAAACAGCTGATTTAAGGTTACAACAGATGTGTGCATTGTCCTTGGTTTTTTCATAGCTGACACTATGGAGAATTCATTGCTGACTGGACAGTAGCACCAGGTTTGGTCAGTGGCATCATGAAATGGTTCAGCAATATGAAGCCTCACAGTCCTATAACAATTCCCTTTGCATCCTCCAGTTATAAATATTTTTTCTCCATAGCTAGATAAACTTGACCCTGGAAGATCAATCATGTGCGTATGTGGTAGTTCTTTCCATTTATCTGTTTTGATGTTGTAGCAGAATGTATGTCTGTTTTCTCCATCTTCATCAGTTTTATGAACAAATATGTATTTTTCTGTTGTTGAAGGACGTGCATCTGGAAACAGTCCACTAAAGTTTTGCACACTTTTAACTGCATCATTGATTATTACTGAGCAATTAGCACTCTTAAGTAAGTGTTCTTCAGAATGTAGAAAGTCCTGCAAAGTTTTTTCAGGTAACTGGTGTAGTCTCACTTTTTTAATCAAATTAGGCAGATATTTCTGTCGTGTTTCTAAGTTGTGTTTGGTCCACTGAAGAACAGCTTTCAACACTGATTCTTCCTCAGGGACATTTAGTTCGTCAGCCTCAAGACATTTTTGTAATATCTCAAAGTTAATCTCCAAAAAATCACTCGATCTGAGCAGCAAGGAAAAGTGGTGCTGTACAAAATCTAGTGCATGATCAAATAAGCGAACAGAACCGTAACTTTCTGATAGAGAAAGCAACTGTAAGCAATTCACAAGATCAATACTTTTTATTAGAAAGTCACTGCAAGCTTTGGAAAGGAGTGAAACTTGAAGAAATGACGACAGCTGGAAGAGCATTTCCACATTATCATTTGTTATCTCTGTTTTTCCTGTGTAAGCGTAATCAAGAAAAGCTTTCACTGCCTTGGGTGATAGATTACTAATAGTAACATTGCCATCATCTCGTTCTTTCATATTAACTTCAAACATGGCTCTGTGAATAAAATATAGAAGATATACACACAAATTAAAGATCTAGCAAACAGCAGGGAACACTATTGTGAGAGGAAGGAGGCAAGCAGGGGTGTATAATTAGGTGGGCAGACTGTATAGGTCTAAAATGGGGAGGTTCTCATAAGGATGAACAATACATTTGCTTGATATGGTTGAAGAAAAAAAGGCGTGGTGATAAGAACATATTCAAAGTGATGGCTCATAAAAATTATAGCAGCCCAGGTGTTTTGTATGGATTTTCAGAGTGAGCGATGAAATCTGCAACTCTCAATGTGAGAGAAAACATGAAACTGTGGGGGCAGCATCAGTTTCAACAGCCTAAGACAGAAAGGCTGATTTAAAAAAATATATAGTAAAAAAGCCCCATGATTTAGGTCATGCACTGTGGATGAATACAGAAAATTAAAGTGAAAAAAGGCCTTCCAAACTGCAGGCTGAACAAACAGCACGATGGATGATGGGTGCACTCCGAAGTAATAAAAGTAGGTGAGGGGTGAAAGAGGATAAAAAACATGAGGAAAGTTAATTCTTGCTTTAGAGTTGACAGATAGATGTATGGGTACAGGCAGACGTCAGAAAAAATTTTGGCTTTGACATAGGATTGCATGACACAATGAAACTTGTGCAGAAAGTAGATTGTGACTGAATACAAAGACAAAAGCTGAAATCGTGGAACTATTGATCAGTAGATTTGTGCAAATTTTATTACAATTTTAACTATTACTAAATATGTAATAACGTTTAACTATTTCACATAGTCTAACATAGCAAGATAAAATAATTGAAGTTTTTCAAGCCAGTAAGTGCTGGCAACAGAACAGTGCTGCAGCATCACTTGTCCTACCCTCCCAGAGCCCAAACATCAGGCTGTGATAGCAACAGCTTCTGAATTTGACAAGATGACAGTGGAGAAAGATTCAGATAAATCATCAAATACTAAATATATAACTTAGATTATTAATATAACATTGATAGTTCCTATTAAAAAAATCATAGTTCAGTTATACAATTGGTATCTGTATGGTATGTGGTTTTTAAAATCCCATACTTTTATGAAGCCAAAGAGGAAAAAAAAAACAAAAAACACTATGTATAGCATACTCCTTGAGAAGTGAACATTGGGTAAAGCAGGAACTTGTCTGATCTCCTGAACAAGAACATAAAGACACATCTCCAAAGACCTTTTACATACTAAATGATGATCCTTAGAATCCTCTCCTCATTAACCCAAGAGCTATACAAATCTCTAGTTACAGAGTAAAATAGCAATTAAACAATACTAGTAGAAGGAGAGCAATCTAGGCAAAGGCTTTGATTCTGAAAGCTAACTAGTAGTGAGCAAAATGTTGATGAATTTTGGGTTTACACAATAAAACCAAAACTAAGGGAAGTCCAAAAGCTAATGAATACAAAAGGTGTTGAATTTTAATTTTTTTCTAGTGGATCTAGGTACTTTTTATTCCCTGAAGGTAATAAATGGGCCTTGCATTCCAGGACAACTTATGAATTTGATGGCTGCTGTTATCCACTGTTACACAGAGAGAGAGGTCTCTCCTGGAAAATTTTAACCTGAAGAGCCTGTAGGTAGTGAAAAGGACATGTATGTTACCATGTGCTTAACTTCAATTCTAAAAATTACCACTAGGAGCTATTTCATCCTAATATTCCTTTACGCCAGAGCACCTCTGCTGTCAAGCAGTAAACACTTGAAATGCAAATAGTTCTGTGTGTCAGAGAAAAAACAAATCTGCTGCTAGAGTGGAGAAATAGTTTATTTCATCTGCATTTCTTCTTTTTTCAGTAGTCCTAAGAACATGTCTATATCCTCTGTTGTATATGGCAAACTCCCACAGACCATGGGATGCTCCGGGACATTTAAAAATAACACTTGTCATCTATGTATGGGCTACTGAATCAAGGTCATTAACTCATTTCATTGTTAGAGCATCTTAGCTTTAATGTTTTAGTAAAGAATATATTTGGAAACAGACTGGAAACAGTGTGGAATTGCAGGTTTGAGCCTTACTAATAAAAAGGTTAGCAAGGTTCTTCATAAATTAATACCCTATATTTGAATGATCTGTCCCTTAGGAATGCATAGATTTAAGCACCAGAAGGAAGATCACAGATCCATTTCATGCTAAAAGGCTGAAATCTGTAGTTTAGAAAAAAATGTAAGATACCTGTTTAAATATCTCTGAAGACAACCTCTACTGTACTGACTGCTCATCTTGGACAAACAAAATCCAGCTCCATTCCAAAAGCATGTACAATTTATCCACAGTTGCTCAATGCAAGATATATTTGTAATCAACCTAAGTTTTTTTCCACAATATAATTGTGTCATAGTACATAGACTGTGGCATACAAAGTCAAACAATACCCCTGCAGACCTTCAAGTACAGATACAAACAACAGGTAATTTAAAGATACACAACTTGTGTCAAGTCTACCTAGCAGCAGAACCATGCACTTATGGCTTGACATCTGTACTTCAGAGTTAGAGACTGCTGTCTGAATCTCAAATTCAGAGTCCTCATGTAGCTTTGGAAATACAAACATGTATTTGGGGTATGGTTAGGCACCTAACACTGTAGTTTTGTTTCAGGGGTTGGTTGTTTTGGGTTTTTTTTGTTATCCTTAATATGATGTTTGAATGCTTTGCTCAAGACTCTGTAAGCTGTGATAATTTATTTTTTAATTTTTGTAATTATATTCATTCCTTCCTTCCCTCCCTCCCAGAGAGCTTACAATCCATTTCCTGCAAACTCATGCCAAAATTGGGTTTACCTGAAGAAATCACTGCATGCTGCCAGTACACAACGATGACAAGGAATTATTTCATCTTTCACAAGAATTTTAAAGTCAAAAAATATATTTTGTTCTCTGAACTTTTGTAGTACTTTTAGAATTTGTTGTCCATGACCTTCAGCCACTAAGGAATTGATCTTATTTTCAGGAACAGAAATTCCGTTGCAAATAGGTCTGCTAATGTAATCCCGTTGATTGGCCATGGTTTCTTCAATCTATTCCTGAAAGTGAAATGGAAAAACAAGGAATTGATTCTATGGTCTTACTATTTAAAAAAATCACAATATACCATAAACCAAACAAAAAAATCCCCATCATTGAATTTGGTTTGTAAATCCTATGCAGAGTTTTAAACTTGTTTAATAAGTGACTTCTACACTGAATTTAATTTGACAACAGTATTTCTAATTTGTAAAATATATACACATGGCATACCTTGAAAAGTAACTTATCTGACATATATCATCAAACAACTCTGGAAATAGTACCCACCTGTAGGAATTCTTTCAATAAAGTTCACAGGAAGTACACCAAGGGGTGTGTTAAAATTTTTAATGGTCATTTAAGAGAAAGACTAGCCCTAGGCTTACCCTCCAAAAAACCCCCAAACTCTTACAATTTTAGGTAAAAATGGAGATGGAAAAGGAAAACTCTGTTACCTATTTTTAGATTCCAAAAGGCTCATCTGTATACCACAAACCCCAAACTCAGCACAGACCAATGCTCTTTCTAAAGGTTACAGTGGAAGGGAGGTACAGCTACTAGACTACTTTCTAAGTGGATTCCCATTAGGCACTCCAGACTAAAATATCAAAATACAAACACTGACAGCCTGGCCTAATCACAGGATTGCTAGGGCTTACCAAATAGGGTCATTCAGAGATGGTTTGGCAACAGTGCAACTCTGAATGTTTAGTCAATTGATACTAATTTTTTCTTGTACCTCTAGTCTTGATAGGAAGCTGTATGTTTGCTTACAGCTTATGCTGCACACCATAAGCTTCATTTAACTGTGGCATAAATTAACTGGCTTCAGAACCAATTTAAATGTAATACAGTGCAATCTCCCTTTCAGCAGCCAAGTTTTTCTGTTCAAAATCTCTATACTGAAGTGCATTGTTTGTATGGTAAATTGGCCTTCACTACTTTATACTTTAAAAATATTTTACTCCACTTTGCCAACATAAAGAAACTTTAAATGTGAGTATATTTTATTTACACCTATCTAAAGAGCCATTTATACTGCTAAAGATGCATAAACTGCCCTTACTGCAAATTCGAGTGAAGCTTGCCTATTTTAAAGCTTAAGGAAACACACCAAAGTTTTTCTATTGCAGAATTTTGCTTCCACAATTCCAATTAAAATTAGCAACAGATAATGGCCCACCTGAATTGACAAAGGAGGGGATAAAAAAAAATTCCAAGCCAAACCCAGAAACCAGAAAAATACTGATTTGGGGTTTTAACTTCACAAAAAGGCTTATCTTATACATGACACATTCAGAGCAAACTAAGACATCAGGCTGTCTTCTTTATGGGAGGTACTTTCATAGCAGACTGATCTATATCTAGTCAGGTGGCTCCAACCACAAATAGACCTCCATGTCTCCTGGAATAGAAGAGATCCACTGATCTTGCTGCCAGCATTGGCACCCTTGGAGCAGGCATCTTCTCCTTCCCATGGCCAATCTCACGTATTCACTCTTTCCATTCTAAGCCTGAGGAACTAGGAAAATACAGAAGAACAAGACCACCATTTATTTTGACAATGTATGGCCTCATGAACTTCCATAAATCATAAAGTCCTTCAGTATGTCAGAATTCTCTAGAATACCCTTTTCTTATGAACTTAGAAGCCTGTTCCTCAAAAGACTGATTCTTCAAAAGCAGAGTTGTTTCTGTAAAATTACTTTCCCACATTTGAATGAAACTTAAAAAAAAAAAAGTAAGTAAATTTCAAGGTTTATTTGTTATCATGTAAAGTAATACTTCTAAAGGAAATGTAAACCTTTTCACAAAATTATGGAATTGATAATACATAGGAGACGTCTTTCTCCTTTCACCTGTAATTTCTATAGCAAAATCCGACCCACAACTTGCTTTCTCTAGGTGAAATTACCAATTTCAGTAATATTTGTCTCTGTATAATGAATACAGAAACATCTGATGTCATCAAGTCCATCTCTGCTGTTTTAGGCAAAGATATTGTATAATCACTTTCATAAAAGTAATCTATATTTCAGAAAGTTTTCTTTTATCACTATTTCCACAGAAAGACTATCCCCCTACATTACTGCCAAGACTGCAAACATTCTTTTAATTACACAATTTATTAATGCTTACATATATTTGTTCTTCCATCAAAATTGTCATTTGACTTAATTTTCCTCTATATATTCATTCACTCATAATTATCAAGAGTGTTGATATCCTTTCTCAACTTTTATTAGAATGAACAATTCTCAAAAGTTCCAAAGTCCATTTATAAATCTGAATTTTTGTTTTCCTTATTATTTTTTGCAGCTTTCTCTTCATCCACTCCAGTCTGATCTCATATTTCTTTCACTGATATCAGATTTGTTGTACAACATTATGGTTAAGATCCCATCAGTGTCTCACTCCTCCAATATGCAGTCATCCGGTGCATCCTAATCCTAATCTGTAACATCAGTGTCTCCTTATTTTTGTCCACCATTAAGAAAAATACTAATGAATACCATGCTATGGTTTAACCTAATTCACCCTCCTCTCTACTCCATTAAAAATATAAATATTAAAAAAATCAATTCTTATCTCCCTTGTAGCCAATTCCTGCTTTATTTGATAATTTTGGTTACTACTTTACTGATTTACTGGATGATTTTAGAGCCCTCCAAAATATCTTAAGAATTCAGCTAAAACTTGTTATGTTAAACAAGGCCAACTAGCATTCATAATTATTTCATGCTTTCTTCCACAAAGCCATATGAATTAATCAACAGTTATAAATATTTGATCAAGTTCCTGACAAAAGGGTAGAAAACACAGAAGATGCAGACATACGTTGCGTAGGTCTGGAGTTCAGGAAAACTGGGCAACAAGCCTCCTTATATTTGCTCCATTTACTCCCACAGGATTCCAATTACAAAGCCTGTCTTTATGTGGATTACCAAGAACCAAACTGCAGTGGATGGTTCTCACAGTTGGGATCTCCTACTTTTGTTTCGTACTTTTGTACAGCTGTGTGCCATATGGGTTTTTATCATGGCAGACAAAGGCTACATACTTGAGCCCTCTTCAATCATCTGACCCACTGGGCACCTGTCACACAACCAGCCTTCCAGCATCTCCTGTAACATGACGTATCAGACCCCGAGTACTGGGGTATGTGACTGGATATTGCCTGTGGTGAGATCAAATGTGTTCTCTGATGTGACCAAATTCAAGTTACCCTACCACTTGACAAAACTCCTCTGTTCATGTACTGAATCTTTGCACATCTTACACTGACAAATGCCTGGTTAGCTATTAGCCTGTTTTTCTTTAAAAAAAAAAAAAAATCATTCAAAACCAAACCCTTAAAGTTAATATTTGCCCCGTTTTTCTGCTTGAAAGTCACATCAAACAAATGGCTCATTGGCCATTATAGTGAAATTTGATACAGACTTCAAAGTTATTAAGGTCAACCCCATATGATACATGTCTGGGGACATACAGGTACCTCTTGAAGGTATCTGTACAGATCTCCAGTTGAGGAGCAATTCTGCATTCTGCACATCTGATAGTTGTCAAGAAATGTGTCAAGCATCAAGAAATGGCCAGCCTATGTATGGCCACAAAGCAGCTAGGAGTTGAACAGAAGCAGGTTGGGGATGGTAAACTAATTTTGGTCATTACAGTGATGAACTAAGGCCACCACCTGGGAGCTCCGATAGTAGGAGCATTCTAATGGTCTGTCACAAAGTCCACTAATAAGGACCCAGACCTCATTAGTTCTGCTGTTCACAAGATCCTCTGTTTTAACACTGACCTTTTCCCAAGACAATAAGGGATGGAGTAGCATAATAAGCTTGTTGACCCAGATGCCAGACAACCACACCACGAAGTCTGATAAGCCCATAGTCAAAATATGAGATATACATGCATTCCTACTAGTAGTATCTAATCTATTGGTAAAAATGCTACAAGAAAAAGTTTAACTGATTTTAATACTTGTATAGTAAGCAAAGAGCTGCCAAAACACTCACTGAATTTCTAGAGGAATTCTTTTACTTCATCAATGCTAATGTTCCCGTGTCAAAGATAGTTATAAGGCATATTTATAAAGATTTTCTTTTAGTTGGCACCATCAACAATCCTTCTTAGATATAATTCTGTATGCAGAAGAAGTTGAAATGTGTAATTAGTTCATACTTATCCTTCACAAAGTCCAGCTGCACTTTTGTGTATCAATTTCATAACAAGTATTTGTTGAACCCTAGATATTACACTAAGATACTGTAAATACAGCATAGTGTTAAACTTATATAGGAGACCAAAAACATCCAGGATAGCCACTTTCAGAATATCTCTACAGGCATACACTAAAATCATAACCACTGCAATATGACTCCTAGAAATGACATTCATATCCATTCCACCAGATTTGAAATAGCAAAGCAAACACAACTGCAGAGTGAACTCTGAGCAGAGATGAACTTTTGTTTGTTTGTGCAGTGTCTACTGTAGTTCTCACTAGAGCATCAATCAGAACATACTCATATAAAGCACATTTACATTCATAAACGCTTTTGCTGAAAAGACTTTGCTAAACCAACAGTCAAAATAGCCTTAGATAATGCGACCGACAGATAAAATTGTTACAGAAGTTTAAAAGTGCTAATGAACTTTAGAATGGTGTAAGATGTGCAGTTAATTCTAAGTGAATAACAGATGAAAATATATTAAACAAGGGAGGGCAAGGGCCTGTGTAATAAGAATGGAGCACGAACACCCAGATGAGGACACAGGGTACAGAAGACTTACACCAAGCCATTTTGATCACTTTATAATAGTAAAATAAAAACATATACAAATATATGTGACTTTGTAATAGCCTAGGGAATGTTGTTTTGTGAAAGTACTGAGCATACATAAGTATCATGTATAGATAAGTTAGCACTTTGTCAGAAAAAACACATTAGGCCATGCCTGCTGGACAATAAACGTGACTAAACCTTTGTAAGAGGACTGAAGGTCTGAAGCCCGAGGCCATTCCCAGCATGACGGACACCAATCTTACATGAGGCATGTGAACATTCAGACACTACAAATAACATTCTGTGTGTAGATGTTCTCCTCTACCAACACAGCTGGCAAAACCAATCTAAATTCTGCCTTTATTTGGTACTTTACAAACAATTGTAAAACAATCTATCTGCTTTATCTCAAAGCACTATATAGCTGTGCTACAGCACTCTCTCACCAATTAAAAAAAAAAGAATATTAATTCTTAATACTTCTTAACAGGTATCTTATGAGAAATAAACTGATCTTCAAGAGAATATTACCTTTGTCATTGAGCCTCCTCCTAACTTGGATAGTATATCTTACTAGATAGCAGGACTTTTAAAATGAGAAATCTGAAATGCTGATATTTTACAGCATACTATATGTACCTAGGAAGAAAGAATTCCATTGAAGATAAAGAAATTATATACATTTCTCTAGAAAATGGTTTGATTTTTTTTTAAGACAAAATTTAACTGTACAGTCAATGTAAGTTCTGTAAAGGTCAAGGTCAGCATTTTAATATCAAATATTAAAAATGTGTTATATTACTAAACCAACTATATACCCATCAAGACGATTTGCTACTTTCACACCTTATCTATGAAAAAGGGGAGAAATCAGTAATTTGTTAACAATTTTTAAAGACCTCGCTACACATCTAATTTGACCGCACCTAATAAAATATTCAGCGAGTTGAATACGAGTGGAACCTGTAAATAAAGGATTTGGTGACACTTCTAATTGCTGTCAAAAAACACAAGAGTGGATTGAAATGTAATTAAATTATAAATACTAAGTACAAAGTTCTGTACTTTTATATTGCATTATTGTTTTGATTGTCATTGACTGTCCAAGACTGAAAACAGATGGAAACAGAATTCCAGGTTCCTGTCTGGAAATTTCAATGCAACTGAGTCTCACAGCTTTTTCATAAATAACCAAAGTTCAAAGAAAATTAATATTCAGTCAAACATTTTTAGATAATCAGAAAAGATGTATGTGACATTCTGAGACATTTAATTCACAATAGTGGCATTTATCAATAATAAATGTTGAGACATGTGTTCCAAGAAAAAAAAGGTGACACAGAGACTTTAAAGGCTTGGGTTCTTTAGAAGTGACTGAAAAAAAACAGCATGGAAAAAACCCAGCATGGTACCACTAGGAAGCAGAGAAATTGCATTGATTCCTGGAGGCATTCCAGAAGTGAAAGATTCCCTCTCTTCAAGAAGTGATCTTCAATTGCATAGCCTCTCACAATCACATGAATCCACAAAGATAAAGAAAATAATCACTTAGAACTCAAACTGACTGGATTTTATCCTTGAATTTCTTGAACTCATCAAGTTCCTTTGGAAATTATTTTCTTAGCTAAAAAAGTTCAAGAATTGTAATTTTCATTTCAGAAAAAAAAAAAAAAAAAAGGAATTAACATGCCATGCTGTACTTGTAATTCTGTCAAAAATAATAACTGCAAAATCTTTAAGAGGAAATTACTGTTTTTATTGGGTTCTGTGGTCATCACTCCTGTATGTGCTTGTGTTTTTTTTCAAAACACACATGCAATATTGAGCATACTTACAATTTAGCATAGCTTATTATGATAGCATGTTTTACTTATAATAAAAATGTGGGCTTATATTGAATATATTCATAATTATATTACATATTATACACTGCATCTTGAACCTCAATTTGCACTTACGCATGATACTTATGTTTTTTAAAAAATAAGTCCACTCGTGAAAAAACTGTTACATGTTTACATCACCTATTAAACAGCATGGACAAGTCCAATCTATTAACCAAACCTTAGGGGTTTTTTTGAACTAGGCAATATCCACATTCCTTTAGTACTTTCACATATCAGTAATGAAATATAGATATGGCCACAATTTCCTCTTCAAGTGTGCAGAATACAGTGTTTGAAATGTAAGTCTCAGATACAATTTGATATTGGTGAATAGCATTTTCCTGGAGTTTTTCTTGATTGTGCAACATCCTCCCCTGCTGTCAGTCAGCTTTGTCTCCCTCTTTGGATAATACATAAAGGAGTATATATGGCATTCTTTGCTTGACTAAGTAATGAGGAAAAATGGTAATCTTCTTTAAAAATAAGTGAGCTACGCTACTGATTCCTAGCCAAAACATTTTTTTTCCCAAAACGTTACTTCTGTGTTTAAAATATTTTGCAAAGACCAACATATACTCAGGTGTAACTGAGGCTTGACACAAAGCCAGCTGTTCTTTTCTGGCCTGTGTAGAAACAGCACTTTTTCACATTAACGGGGAGCTGGGAATGCTAAACAACAATAACAAGGATTCTAAGAATTACCTGACATAAGATAATGATTTTAAGAAATACCTAAAAGAATGCAATTTTCAATATTTTTGCATCATTTGTGCATGGTCAGTATAGAACAGTTAAATGCACATGTATTTCTAAAGGTAAGCAATAGAAAGGAGGGTCATAAATGTTCAAACAGACCCTAAATTTTTAGCCATGGCCCAATTGCAAAACTAAAGTGTCAACAACATTATTACCTTTTGATGATTTACAGATAGCCTGTAATTGAGGGCACACGGGAATCCAGTTCTGACAACCATTACGGTTCTTAGCAGAACAAAGAGCACAGGATATGAAAGGCTTTTGTTCGGACATATTCTTTACAAGCCAGAATCAAACCCGGGTGATGCAGTACTTCGCATCTGGTGTGTGAACAATTGTCTCCTCTTTTCTAGTCAACACAAAGCAGCAAGCCCAGGGAAGGCCCAGGGGAGAGGCCGCCCCCGCTGCCACAGCTGCCGGCACGTGTCTCCTCCTCCAGGGGCCGGGCCGGTTCTTCAGGCACATACCCATGTGCTAATGGCAGCGACAGGGCCAAAGACACCGGGGGAACTATCTGCCGTTAACCGGTAACGGTGCCGCTCTCCTCAGCGGCATAAACGCAGCCCTGTCTCGCACAAAGCCAGGGGCAGCCAGAAGTTACAAGGAAATTACGTTCATTTAGCCATAGCTGGGACTATCCGCCACCCCCAGCCTCATCGGTCCCCGCCGGTGCCGATCTCGGCCCGCCCCTGCAGGCCCACAGCGCCAGCGCCAGCCGTGGCCGCCGCCCCTGCCCCTCGCCCCGCCCGCTGGAGGGAGGGCAGCGGCGTCAGCGCCGCTACTGAGCATGCCCGC